TGGTTAATAGTATATTTAGTATATTTTATCTTATTTTCACCATTTAGATAGTAGAATATTTTCTTTTATTTTTAGGATTTAGTTTGTAGTTTGTATTCTATTTAAAAGTTGTAAATATTTATGAAAGTTGGACTTTCATTGACTTTCAATCCACTCCTGTTTCTACTTTCAATCTACTTATGTTTCTCATTCTTAACATGGTATTAGAGCTTCTCATTCTTAACACATCCACGAGAGTAACATCATGTTGATTTAATCTAAGCTTATGGGATTGAAAAAATTCTATCATGGTGTTTGTATCCATCACTTGCAACAACCATACGTTCAAACTTTCTTGATAACCATTGAGAAATTTTTAACCTTTTTGATTACCAATTTCTTCCCCATTTGATCTCAAGTTGTTGCTATAGCACGAATATATATATATATTTCTTACATTTGATTTCTTTGATTTCTTTGATTTCTTTGATCATCTTGATGGAGTAGAACTCAAACATGAAAATTTGTAGTGTTACAATATTTACATATTCTCTTCTTGATAGGTGAATTAATGGAAAAATTAATGAAATGATCAAAATAAAATCAAATGTAAATCTAAAGAGTAATTTATTAGGTAGAGTATCTTAGGTATTTAGTTTAAATATTTTTTTAGATTTGTTTACCATGTTAGTTTCTATTTATAGTTATTTGTATATGTATAAAATAGAAGTTCAATATTCAATAATATTATCACTTCAAACTTTCATTGTTTATGTTTGTGGCTTAGTTATGTCAAAACCTAACAATTGCTATCAGAGCAACAATTTTTGAGTGATCAAATAGAGAGAGTATGAGTGAAGACAAAACTTTAACGAAGATCCCTCACTTCGATGGTCACTATGATCATCGGAGTGAGCTGATGGAAAACTTGCTTAGACCAAAAGGTCTATGGAGTGTGGTGGAGATTGGTTCTAGAGGAAAGAACAATGTTGATTGAGGCACAAAAGGGCCACCTTGATGATGCTAGACTCAAAGGTCACCAAGTAAAACATTACCTCTTTTAGGAAATTGATCGTACTCTCTTTGAACAAATCTTGGATCATCGCACATCCAAGATTGTTTGGGACTCAAACGAAAATTTGGTGGAAATCAAAAAGTGAAGAAATCTCTTCTTAGTGCATTAAGGAGAGAATTTGAGATCCTAGAGATGAAGAATGATGAAAGTATCATAGATTATTCTGCAAGAGTGATGATCATCTCCAACAAGATGAGAATCAATGGAGAAAATATGCTAGACAAGAAAATTGTAGAAAAATTTATGCGTACCCTGACTAAAAAATTGACTTATGTTGTAGTATCCATTGAGGAATCCAAAGATACTGATAACATGTCCATTGAAAAATTACAAAGTTCATTAGCGGTGCTTGAACAAAATTTTTGAAGATCCAGCATTAATGGAGAGGAGCAAAATTTTGAAAATCCAACATTAATGGAGAGGAGCAAGTTCTAAAAGTCGAAGGACAAACGGAAATAAGTAATAGAAGAAGAGGAACTTACCGGAGCAGAGGACGTGAAAGAGGAAGAGCAACTTTCAACAAAGCAACTGTTGAATATTATAGGTATCATGACTTGGGTCATTTTCAATATGAATGTCCAAAGATGAATAAGGAATTGAATTATGCAGAGCTAGAAGAAGAGGATGAAATGTGGTTAATGGCTCATATGGAAAGACATGAAGCAAAAAGGAGTGATGCTTGGTTCTTAGATTCTGGTTGCTCAAACCATATGTGTGCAAGTGAAGACATGTTTTCAAGCTTAGATAAGAAATGGGTAAATGGAGAAGTGAAAGGCCTGCCGAAAATTGTATCTCCAAACACCACCTGTGAGGCATGTATGAAAGGCAAGCAACATCGAACTCCATTTTAAAAAATGGGTAAATGGAGAGTAACGGAAAAATTAGACGGGGAAAAAACATTGAAATTAGTAAGAATACAGCCGAAGGAGGAGAAATCACAGAGGAAACGGCTGAACCGGTTGCTGAAATAATTGAACAAGTTGCTGAAAATGAAGAAGGGGAAATCACAGAAGAAACGACTGAATCGGTTGCTGAAATAATTGAACCAATTGCTAAAAACAATTTTCTAGTAACTGTTGCACTAGATTTGACAATAAGGGAGGGGAGAAATCGACATCCACCTGTATAGTTAGCAGATAATAATTCCAGTAAAGGCTTATCTGAAGAGGACGAAGAAAATATGGCATGATTTCAGATCGTGTGAATTTTGAGGAAGTTGTCAAAAGCCCAAAATGGAGATTGGGTGTGGATTAAGAAATCAAATCTATTGCAAAAAATCAAACATGGAATCGGGTGGTTTTAACAACAGGAGCAAAAGAAAGTAGGAGTGAAATGGATTTATAAAACCAAGCTAAATGAGTTTGTTGAAGTTGATAAATACACAGAAATATTGGTTGTAAAATGCTACACACAAGAGCACGGAATTGATTATATGGAAGTGTACGCACCTGTGGCCATAATGGATATTGTGAGAATGATCATTGCTTTTGCCGTCCAAAAAGGTTGGAAACTCTATCAGTTAGATGTCAAATCAGTTTTTTTATATGGTGAGTTAGAACAAATATTTTTGTTGAACAACCAAAAGGTTACGAGAAAAAGAGAAGTGAGGAGATAGTGTACAAACTTCAAAAGGCTCTCTACAAATTAAAACAAGCACCTAGAACTTGGTTTAGTTGAGAATCCTACTTCATCAAGGAAGGATTCAAAAGCAGTTTCAGTTAGCAAACACTCTTCATCAAGAGGAAGGGAGGTAAAATTCTTATTGTAAGCATTTATGTTGATGATTTTTTATTTACTGGAGACGATGAAGAATTATTGGAGGAGTTTAAAGGTTCCATAAAAAAAGAGTTTGATATGACTGACTTAGGTCAGATGAGATCTTTTCTTGGAATAGAGGTAATACAAAGATTAGATGGTATTTTTATATCTCAAGTATGCTGCTGAAATTTTAAATTGATTTGGCATAGAAAATTACAATTTTGTTTGTAATCCCATTGTTCCAAGACAGAAAATTGACAAAGATGAAAATGGTGTAAAAGTAGATGTAACTTTGTATAAATAAATAGTGGGAAATCTGATGTATCTCATAGCTACCCGTCTTGATCTCATGTTTGTTGTAAGTTTGATTAGTCATTTTATGGCATGTCCAATACAACAACATTTTGCAGCAAAGGGTTTTAAGGTACTTGAAAGGTACGGTAGATTATGGTATATTTTATAGAAAGGGAGAAGTTAGTGATTTAAATGGATTTACTGATAGTGACTATGTTGGAGACATGGAAGATAGCAAAGAGTACTTCAAGCTATGTGTTTATGTTGAGTAGAGGAGCAGTGGCTTGGTCTTCTCATAAGCAACCAATAGTCACCTTACCAACCACAAAAACTGAATTTGTTGCTACTAGTGCCGGTGCATGTCAAGCTGTTTGGATGAAGAGGATACTCAAAGAGATCGGTCGCTCTCAAGTAGAAGGAACAAAGCTAATGTATGATAATACAATTAAGCTATCCAAAAATTCAGTTCTACGTGGATGTTCCAAACACATAAGAATAAAATTTCACTTTCTTAGAGATCTTACAAAAGAAAGAATTATTAATTTATTATTTTGTGATACCCGAAATCAGCTTGCTGATTTGTTGACAAAGCCTCTAAAATTATTGAATTTGGTGTGTAAGTTTTTCTAACTGAACTAATTCTGGACAAAGAATAATACGTCAAGGGAGGGATGGTTAGAAGAATTTAATTAGCTCAAAATAATTAGAATATTTTTTAGGTATTTAGTTTAAATATTATTTTTAGATTTGTGGTTAGTTTTTATTTATGGTTATTTGTAGAGCAAAGTTAAAAAGTATTTAATAATATTATCACTTCATACAACTGAATATATAGCCATAATTTAGGATTTTTCCTTATTTATAGGATTTGGTTAATAGTATATTTGATAAATTTATTTTATTTTCACCATTTGGGTAGAATATTTTCTCTTATTTCTAGGATTCAATTGATAGTTTGTATTCTCTTATTTAGTTAACATTAATGAAAATTGTACTTACAATCTCACTTCTTGACTTTCGATCCCACTTCTCATTCTTAATATGGTATTAGAGCTTAGCTTCCATTGATTTAATCTAAGCTTACCAGATTGAAAAAACTCATCATGCTATCGAGTGTAGACAAGTGTTCTTATTCATCACTTGCAACAACAATACGCTCAAACTTTCTTGATATACTATTGAGAAATTTTTAAACTTTTTGATTACCAATTTCTTCCCCATTTAATCTCAAGTTGTTGATATAGCATGAATATGATTTGTTTTTTCTATGATTTCTTTGATCTATCTCGATGGAGTAAAATTCAAACCTGAAAAGTTTGTCTTACAATATTTACCATATTCTCTTCTTGATAGGTGAATTAATGGAAAAATTAATGAAATGATCAAATGTATATCAAATGTAAATCTAAAAGAGTAATTTATTATACTTGAAAATTGAATAGCGGAAATTTATAGTATGAGAAATTAGAAAGGAAATAGTCAAACATTTTATGCTTGGAATACTCTGAACCCCACACAATATAAGAGCCTCTCCAAATTTGGTGGTCTTTTCCCAATATAGTTTCTCCATAAAATTATATATAGTGCTTCACTTTCTTAGAAAAATTCAAGCACTCACACCTTAGCCATTGCTAATCTTCATCAGTTGTGAAACGAGCTTGTAACCTTACAATTTGAAGACGCTCGACAATGGCCATAGGCAAAGGTTTCAAGCTCTTTCACACCCTTTTCTTAGTGATTGCTTGGCAATGTTGTGTGAAAGTGGGTGCCACTTTTGGCGATGTCACTGGTGTTGTGAATCTCGATAATCAATTTTCATTTCGTGCTCTTGGATCACATGAAACACAAGCCCCAACAGTTGCACCAATTGGAAGTAGTACAGAAGTCCTAGTGGGTGCATCGGTTGGAAGCATTGCTCAAACCCCCGAGGGTGCATCGGTTGGAAGCATTGCTCAAACCCCCGAGGGTGCATCGATTGGAAGCATTGCTCAAACCCCCGAGGGTGCATCGGTTGGAAGCATTGCTCAAACCCCCGAGGGTGCATCGGTTGGAAGCATTGCTCAAACCCCCGAGGGTGCATCGGTTGGAAGCATTGCTCAAACCCCAACCATTGCATCACTTGGAAGTAGCACACAAGCGTGAGAGTAGCATTGTTGGGCATCGAGGTTTTTCTTGGCTATTAACAAAGTAAAACCTAAACCAAACAGACAAATTCATTATTTCTATATATTTTTTCATAAATTGACTGATTTTCCTTTTTTTTTTCTCATATTTAATTTTTTATTTTAATTTATGAACTCAATTCTATCCTTAAAAATTATTTACATGTTTACTTGACTTACTACCATAGGAACATAAATGATGTAGATCATTCAAGAATTGAAGTCAACTACTATACTATAGTCTAAAACATTAACTAGTAAAATACCAATTCTAATGGAAAGATGAAAAATGATATTGAGGAAGCCTCAATATTTAGAATAAGCGATTAATGACAACGACCAAAAGTTTTCGGTTATTGATCAGTACATTTACAAATTTGTGAGTCGAAAAAAATATAATATTAAAAGATTTTTACAAATTATATCATTATTGGATTTGTGGCACAATAGTAGTCCGTTTGAATGATTCACATCGGATTCAAATAGGACCGTCGCTATTTTAACGTTTTTGGTGTAGAGTCTCAAATTTAGGATCTTCTGCTGCACGGATTTCTTGAGAAACGAAGTCATAGGCACGTAGGTTAAGGGCCAGACCAACTACTCCAAGAGTACTCATCTATAAACTAGTTACTGGTACAAATAACATAAAGAAATGTAACCAACGTTTATTAGAAAAGCGGTTAGCAGTGACCATTGAATAAGTTCTTCAACTTGAGTTGGATTAAAAGCACGGATGTATTTACACCATCACCATCTTCATATAAGGTATTTTTTACGGTAGCACCATGAATAGTGCATAGCGGAGCAGCGCCCGAGTGTAAAGGATAAGAAAACAATTAAAGCAAATCGGAGTCTGGAAGTAATTTTATGAGTGTTTTTACTTATAAACTTTTTGATATATATATATATATATATATATCTTTGGTTGTCCCTTTGTGATGAGATTACGTTGTTTGAATTGTATGAGTATTGATACGAACATATTCATGCGTAAACTTATATTTAAATTATTTGATAATATTATAGTTTTTTTAGGTTATAGTTAACAATAAGCATTTTAGATTTTTTTCTTTGAAGTATAAGCATTTTAGTTCTAGTAAAAAGAAAATTGTTCTTCATTTAAATACTCAAGTAAATTGTTCTTCATTTAAATACTCGAGCACTCTATTTGTGGAAATACTCGATTCTCTCTTTTATTTTGGTGGTTTGCTCTAAACTAATGGGATGAACTAGTTTATGATCAATTACTCTACATGAGTGAAGTTCATGATAGAATGGGGCTTTTGAAATCTCGCATGAACGAGATTGTCACTAAAGCTGAAGGATCGATGTGATAGCAGACCACCTTGAGACAATGCCTGTCCGCAAATTAATGATTAGGGTCGAGGCCCTAGAAGAGAAGGTCATAACTTCTGGTAGCTTCGAGCGTAGAGATAGTTAGACGGGCTCTATTGTCCGAATGGAAGAACACGTCGAGGGCTTAGACAATGTCCAAAAGGCGATCATTCAAATGGTCTCATAAATGTCTTAGCATTTGAGAGTGGCCTTTGGAATGGTTAAAGCTATAGTGGTGGATCTAAGCGCTGGATTGAGAGGAACCAAACCCCAAATAGGTGTGTACTACAATTTAATAAGATAAAGGATCGAGAACCCAAGCCCTTTTGTAGGGTTTGTGATGTTAAGTATCTAGAGAACTTTATTTTCAACCTTGACTTGCCAAGCATCTAGACAACTTTAATTTCAACCTAGGACTTTCTCTCAAAAATCCTAAAACCCTCCCTCGTCTCGTTTTTTTTTTTTTTTTTTTTTTT